TTGTAGATCTCGTCGTTCCCTACAAAATGACCCTATACATGTCCCCCTACGTCCATCCGTTCGGGAGTTATTGACAAAAAACGAAAATTTCGCGAAATCTGAAGGGGTACCCCTTGGAAAAATCTCGGAAAAATCGAAAATTTTTTTTTGTTGTTTATTATTAGCAATGTTCTTCCGACGTCTGATTTCTTTTTAAAAAATGCGTTTCTAAAGTGCATAAACTTTTGGGATTGACTGTATAGTCAATACATCCTTAATACATATGTTATACGCGCGTAGATATCGTACATGTGCAAGTGTTTAATAAACAATTCGCGTCACGCACCGTATGGTCATTGAAACTACTTCTGCCTTCGATCCAATCATAATTTCTAACTTAAACACCTCTAAAAACTGATGGATGAGAAAACCGTCGCTCGATACACTTCATGTTTACGAGCCACAGGCTGAAATACACGCATTTACGATGCAGCAATAAATCGAGTAGTAAGAATGATTTTCTTCGTTCAAATACATCCGCAACGAGGATTAAGCTTGAATCGATAAAGGCGTTTAATATTTTCTATCGTTTCCCAGTTCTTCCTGCGAACTTCTCTCAAAACGATACGCTTACCGCTTGGAAAAAGGCATCTCGTACATATATATTACTAATCGTTCGTATCACTTACAGACTGCGATCTTTACAACTTTTAAGGTGCTTCTTTGCTTGTATCACGACCTCGTATTCTGTCATCGTTGCGTATCACAGTTGCACGCGTACCCGCGTATACATCCCCGTTCCGATGCAACGCTTGTCCGTTCATAATGACACGCAACGGCGACACGATGCGAGGGCATGCTACAAATGGATACGCGTTTTTTACACAAGTTACTTTCATTTAATGCTAATCCCGTTTCCCTCGCTCTTTCTTTTACTCGCTTTCGCGTACGCGAATGCTCGTGGAACTTACTTCTCTATCTTTGGTAATTTAAAGAATGATTCTGAGTGGAACATCTAAGGAAAAGCACGACTCGCGTGCGAACTTATACATACAATGTTCACTTACGACGAAGATTCGAGTTATTATGAACTGTTACCGATTATTCGCTCGTACGTAATTTAATCGTTTTCTTTCTTTCTTGCGTTCATTCTTGCAACGTGTAACGTTGTTCAGCGATTCGTTCGCTACATTCAACCCAGTGATCTGCGCTATAATCGGTAGTTTCAAAACGCTAGCGACAAAGCGGTCTAAAGAAATTTCTGGTTCCTCGCTATCTTCGTTAGTTGCATAGATTTCTCTTTATAGAATTATACCTTTTCTCATCTACGTCATCACAGATAATATTCGATCGTTTCTCGAACCGAGAAATCGTCAAGTAATTCTACAAGAACAAGTATGCACGGTTCCATTTCGGTATTCGTTTACATTATGTCGAGAATAAATTCTATTGTACGTCCCTCTCACTTTCATCTGGATTTTAAGCGAAAATAAAAAAACGGAATGAGTCTGTATACGCTCCGTTAAGTTCTATCGTCACCTTCTTCGATTCTGTCGACGGAACAATCGTTCAAACGTTTCCTATGTCTTAGATGTTAGTTGCAGGCAAATTTAACTAGGCAGCCGCTATCTATGTTAGAGAACATGAGCGAAACAAAAACAACTCGATCTGTACAACTTTCATTCCACGACGAGTCAGATAGCTTTGCTGTTGTCGTTCGAAAAGAAATTAGTAGAGAAACTTAATAAAGAACTGTGGTAGCCCTGAACGCGTTATTCAATCAAATGAATTAATGATAGAAAAAGTAAAGAAGTAAACGAAAAGGCGAAGGAGCGAGAGACTGAAAGATAGAGATAGAAATAGAGAGAGAGAGAGAGAGAGAGAGAGAGAAGAAGAAGCAAAGAATATGTTGATTATGCGTGTGCTTACGTACGTTATGTGTCGTTCGTTTGTAAAACTCAAAGTCGTATACAGACCGTAAAGAAGAATAAAAGTAAAAGTGAAGTAAGACTGTACATAAATCAGTCTATGCATTACCTCCAGCAAGCGCCGCAGTTTTCGACCCGATCTTGTTCTTCTTTCCTGCTGAAAAATATCCATCAAAATATTATCGGTTAATATTCGTCGGAAGTAGAAATGAACAAGTAACGCGCAAATCGTGCGTAGCTACTTTCTAAACGAACGTACACTCGTGTAATTCGTAGCTAAGACGCGTACTTACTTGGCAAACTAAAAGGTGCCGATTTGAATGGATCTTCTGGTAATTCTCTGTACGTCGCTACGAGGCTGTCACGACTCTTCACGCCACCGCCGGTACTCGCGTTGCTACCTCTTCTGATTTTATCGAATTCGGCACCAAATATATGATCCTCCGTCAACTGATTAAAAGGTTGGACATCTTCGAACGGATTCCAGGCCGCCACGTCCGCGCTCAGCGATCGTCCTTCGGTAGCAGTTATATTCGAAAGTTCACCCTAATCGAAAGAATCCCGTATCATTCGTTTTACCATGTGTATGTTCATTACGTGTTTGAGAGTGTATGCTGTGCGGAAAGTGACTGAACCGAAACGAAGATAAATGAAATAAATCGAAGTAAAAGAACGAAAACGTTCAAACGAGAAATCAATCTACAAGAATAAAAGGAAAGAGGAAGAGATACGATCACCGATCGTATCGAAAAAAGAAATAATTAAAAAAAATCGGTGCACTCCGTGTACTTACAATACGTACATGCGAAGTGCTAGATCCTAGACACGGTTTTACGTCGATCACAGCTTCCGGGGTGGTGGGGTCTTCTGAACGCGATTTCACCGAAGCTTCGTACGGCGCAAGGAACTGCGTCGTTTCGCTTGCGAATACCCTGAACAATGTACGATGATCAGTAGTAACGTTCGTACTCTAAACCTGGATAACTTACTTGTTGAACGCACTCGTGTCGCTGACATTTCTTCTGTGACGCGCGGAAGAAAACGTCGGACTATCAGGCGGAGACGTGCTCGAACTGATATTTTGACTCAAACTCTCAGTCTTGTTGACCGGCTTCGGTAAAATCGGCGTGGTCGCTGTTAGGATCGTAGTAGCTGCAGCTGTAGTTTTGTTAGGCCCGGTCGAAGCGTTGATCTTCGACGTCGTTAACGCCGAAGAAGACGGTAGGACAGGAGTGAATTTGGAACCTGGACCACTGACAGAAACTATGTTCGATACTTTGGGAAGAATTTTCGTGGGTTTAGCAGCTACTGGAGGTGGTATTTTCGTTGGCGGAGGTGGTATACTTCGGTTATCGTCTTTGAATGGATCCGGATAACCTACGGTAGTAGAAAAAAAATATAAGAAACGAGAGATACGTAATAAAAACCTACTTCAAGATCACGTTTACATACCGGATGGTGGAAACAGTGCTTCCAAATTCTCTTCATTGACGTTGGTCGAGAGTGACACGTTCGGGGACGCAGTAGGAGCGAAGTAGTATGCACTTGGCGTATCTGGAACGGTCGCAGCAGTAGGAGACTGTCTAATCGTAGAAGCCTGTGGTTGAACATAACTCTGCGGTTGCTGGCCCTGCGATGGATGAACGAACGGAACGTTTTGAGTGGTTGTCGTACACGCGGTTTGCGGCGAAACCGGACCGAAGGTGGATGAGGACGACGATGTCGAAGACGACGACGAGGACGAGGACGATGACGACGTCGACGAGATTGTACAAGGCGCTGTCGTTGTCATAGGCGCCGGCGCCGGTGACGACAGCTGCTGCGTCGGCGCTTGATGAGTAGAAGATGTTTGCACCGAAGACTGAACGCTCGCCTGCATTGTGTTCGGAGTGAGAAAAACTTGAGGTGCGTTCAACGGACCAAGTTGTTGACCGTAAGCGATGGTCGTAGTCCCAACTGCTGCTACCGAAGCTTGCGACTGTGCCTGAGTCCCTTGGCTTCCAGATATTTGGGATACTATCTGACCGCTTAAACTTATCGGACCCGTACTCACGGCTTGTCCCTTCGGCCGTTGCCTCGGTGCGACCGATGTACCTTCGACGATGGTTACGGGAGACGGTTTCGGCGTCTTCACCGAGGATGCTCTTTTCACGTTTTCGGATTCCATCAGCGGACAAGGTAACGAGTCTAAGACGGGCGTTGGAACTTTCTAAAATGTTCAAGATATTGGGACGTGATACGTTAATACGATATCACGATAATCTGGTTTATCTCCATCGAGGATCGAGCCGTCGTGACCCGTTAACTGTAAACGCATACGTACGTGTAGATTTTGGACAGGACACTCTTTGTTTTGTATTTGGAATGCAACCGCGGAGACTTGATAAATGTCAGGCCGATTATCGGGATCCGGTTCGAGCATATAACGAATCAGACAGTGAAGGTTTCTACTGTACCTGTACAAAGTCAAGTTTTTCTGTTCATATCCCATTTCGTTGATTGTGAAACATACACGATACGCGTACGTAGTGTTACAGCGAAGAGGATCTAGCATCTGTCTTTGTACGTACTTACCTCGAGTTATCCGGTATCGTAAAATTCCCCGACTGAATGGCGAGCGTACTCTCCCCAAATGGCAACGAGAAGAAGCAAAGTTTATACAACAAACATCCGAGTGCCTAAACAATCGTTAAGAAAGTTATTCGTTTATCACGTTCCTCCGCTTAATCGCGAACACACAGCGTGACAGCGTTCACTCTCATCTCACCCATATATCCGCCTTCGTCGTGATAGCTTTTCCGCAATACATATCGACCATTTCGGGTGCTCTGTAGCTGAGAGTCGTATATTTCTTAATTTCTTCTTCGACGATCGCCGCGCCTTGGACACTCGGATTAAGAATCTTTGCCGTCGCCGAACCGAAGTCGCACAGCACGTAGTGGCCGGCATCGGAATACAATATATTCTCGACCTTTAGATCCCTGTGAATTATCGGCGTCTGACAGTGATGCAGCCGCGACACAGCCTCGCAAACATCACAAAATATTTGAAGAACTTCGGACTCAGTAAAACCAGTCTGTAACCTGGAGAGAAATCAATAATTTTTGGAATTTATAGACGAGAAAATTGGCCCGAGACGAAACTGGTGAAAAGGCTTCGAACCTGTTATTCATCATCTGTAAAACTTGAGATCTGCAATAAGGCATCAGAAGCAGGAGCTCGTGGACTCCTCCACCTATGTGAGTTATACTACTGTCCACATATCCAATAATATTCTTATGACCGTTTAAATTATTCTGGAAAGAAGAGAACGAACAATTTCGAGATCTGCAACAACGACACGTGAGGCAAAGTACGCGGTTCAACTCACTGCAATTTGTATTTCCCTTTTACAAACATTGAGGTCGTGCTCGTTATTAACGTACATGCGTTTAAGTGCGTACCGTCCGCTCGAAGATTTCACCAAGAATACAATGGCAAATCCTCCTGCAATATCATTACTAAATTACTAGACGATTGCTACATTTACACACGCATAAGGAGGCATAAAAATTAAGACCGAAGTTCCCTCGATCTTGATCGCTCAGGAAAACCTTTCGCTTTCTCGGGAAACTTGGTTTTATCACACGATCCATCATCCTAATAATCTGGATATTAATGAAACGAACGTTCCTCACGATTCACGAATCCGTTCCGAGCAGCGCGATTAAACTCTGTTCAAGCTCTTAGGTACGAAAGTGACACGCGTACTCACGTATCTACGATAATGATAATTTAACGTCCGACTACGTAACGCATGATCGCGATGACATTCGGCAGCGTCGATCAATCGTTCGTTAATATTTCCTAATCCCTGATACGTATAGTCATAGAATTATTCGACGTTCTAAATGGACCGAGAGAGAAGCGAAGAACGAAAGCAAAAGATAGGGACGAGCAGCGGATAGGAGAGCCGTGCAAAAAAGAGCCATGTAAAACGTATGTAAGTACGTCGAATTAGGCAGGTATTTACTCGAAGACGTAGGATAAACCGCGCGTACCTTCAGCGAGAACTTCTTCGACGGTGACAGTATGTCGTCCCACCACGAAAACCTTTCCGATGTAACTGTTCGGCTCCTTGGACGTGTTTTCGATCTTTGAAAACAGCTTCTTCATATTGGCACACGTTGTCGGCCTTCCCGATATCGAACAACACTGAACCGACTTGACATAAGGCCTTCTTCGCTTTACCAAATCTTTTCCTTTACAATATGGCGAGTTAGATTTTCTCAATCGATCGTCTTCGCCGTGTTCATACCTCTCGCGCTTCGATTCGCAACGATTTTCGTGATTATCCGACGGCAAATAACTTAACCAAAGGAAATCGTTCCATAACAGTTAACGTACTTTACCCAGCCGACATATTCAGGCTGTACGTATCTCCACACACCACCGTATGCCACGCTGAACCGTGCACATTACTGCGCGCGCTGTATGTATGCGACCGAATGGAGTATTCGTGTATGTATCGATACGTACTTCTGTCCAAATGGTAGTAATATTTGTCTTTGTAGACGAGTCTCGTCTCGAGGCTGCTTGAGTCACAGTCACACAGCCACTTTACGCAAACGCAACGCGATCGACATCGGAAACATATGGCCACACGCACGACTTCCGCTTGAACGTCAAAACTGGGTAAATCGTGGTAATGTCAAAACAGAACATGAATCTTTTGTTATTTTTAATGTTTCGATTCAGCGATTCTTAGTCTTTCGATGTGTATCTGAATTCTGAATACAAGGTACGTATATGAATTACTGAATAGATCGAATTTTCGAATTTTATGCAGTTCAATGTTAAACGTGTTTGTGATGAATGAAAATATGTGTACTACTATTATGTACAGGTATGTAAAATATATTTTAATTCAGTCTGGCATCGATATTCATTGTGTATTCATAGTAGTATAGTTTTTAGATTATTATGATTAGTTACGCCATCTTACGAGAAAATCGTAACGGTGTAAAAGTCTCGTGCATATAAATCCTACGGTTGTTCATTGTTATTTTTATTCTTAACAATAATCATCAATTAATGAAATTGTCATTTGCTTGAATTTGTAATGAAGTTGTCGTGTGACAATGACGATGACGATGACGACAACGACGACGACAACGACGACGACAATAAAGACGATGATGACAACAAAGGCAGTAACGGTCGTCTGAAAACGTCGTCGATGATTAAAACCGCGTACGCGAATTTTGTACATAAAATTCGGTTTGACAGCACTTATCGTAAGGCGAATTATAGCGAGTCGGATAGAGACATGTCTGATAATTTGGAAGTATCCATAGACGACTGGATATCGGAAGAGAAATGCGAAAGTGACGAGAACGTCGCGGAACTCGACGTCCAGAAATACGAGAGCATGCTGTATCTGAACAAGCAGATACTGTCACAATTGTTGAATTTAAAAGTGGATATAACCTCGGCCCTGCAAAAATGCGAATGGAGATTGGCAATGATTGAAAGAAGCTTGCAGAAACACGCGGTCGGAGAGAGAAAGGTTTTGATATGCACCGCCGGCATCCCGTACTTCAAAGACAGACATTACTTCTTTGCGCCCAAGAATGACGACGAAATCCTGAAAGGAAGTCGGAATGAATTGCAAATGGTAAACCTTCCAAAGACCTCGGACTGGTCAATTGAAGACAAGAATATCCTTGTAAACGCGGTAAGAGCTGAAGAAGAAAAACAGGAAGACGAAGGTCTCACGCAAGCAGTGAGTATCGAGAAAACAAAGCATGCGAGATATGATGGTCCCGTGATAGAAAGGGAACTAGACTGGATGAAGATATCGTCTCTTAATTACGAGATACCTCATTCTCCTCTCGATTGCCGCGTGATTTGGAACGTTTTCCTCCATCACGATATAAACAAAAGTCGATGGACCAACAAAGAAGATATAAAGCTGAAAGAGATCGCCAAAGCATGCAAGTTCCAGGACTGGGAGAAGATCACCGAGCGATTAGATACGAAACGTACAGCGTATCAATGCTTCGTCAGATACAATACGACAAAGAAATTGTCGAAAATACAAAATTATAATTGGAGTAGCGAGGAAGATGAAAGGTTGTTGAAATTGGTAGAAATATACCGGATCGGTGACTTCATTCCTTGGGGCGAGTTAGCCAATTGGATGCCGAATAGAACGAAGCAACAGATTTACTACCGATGGACGTACAGTTTGGCCCCTTATCTGTCGAAGGGCAGGTTCACCAGAATGGAAGATCGAATTCTGATGGACGGTGTTACCAAGTTTGGTAAAAATTTTCACAAGATATCGGCTGTTCTGATGCCTCACAGATCCACCGTGCAGCTTCATTATCGTCACGAAACGTTGATCTTAAACGAGATGGAGGACTGGAATCGGTGGTCGTTGGAGGAGGATGCGAAATTACTCGAATTGTTTTACAGCATAGGGCCGGACTGGTCTGCGATAGCTAAACAGTTTCCGCGTAAAAAGGGTAGAACTCAGCTGCGACACAGATGCAACGCTCTACAGAAATATATCAAGAGGGGCGTTTCGTTGCTCGATTTACATTATAACGAAATCACCGAGAGAGAAGATGTAACACTCACGGTATTAAATAGCGAGCTATGGGATGGCAAAGATACTATCAAACGTGATAACGACGACGGTGACGACGACAGTTGGATAGACCAAAAACTAATCGAATACTTTCGCTCGAAAGGTTGTAGGGAGAAAGTTTATCATAGGAAAAGCTTGAAATGTAACGTAACTAATTTGTATAACACTCTACGGCAATTAAATACCGTATTATTTATGCCTGACGAAGACATCGACAAAAAGTTGACCGGTGAACATCGTCGGCTCGCGTTTGCATTGAAAGATCATGTGAGAAAACAGGAGGACAAGAAACAGGTCGCTGAAGTTGTAGATAAGTATAGACTACGGATGTTCGCCTGCTCGAACGACAAGGAGATTCCTGAAGAATCGAATTCGCATTTTATTCCTCCGCTTCCTTTCGATATACAACAGTACAAACCAAAACGTTCAAGGGAAAACACGCGTACCATCGATTACGGTTTGAATAGAAACAATAACTTTTTATTGGAAGCACCATTGGTTTTCGATACTCCGGATCATGTGAACTCTTATATCGACAAAGAAAATCGGGAATTTCAGAAATTACTGGCCTCGTATGGAGCTGAAGACAATTCGAAAAGTAATGTAACCGCCTCCCCTTTGGTTTCGACAGAACACACGCCGACGAAACGAATGAGCGCCTGGATGGCGCAAGACACTGTTACACAGGACGCCTCTAATAGATCCCTTTTTCAAGATGCCAAGAATTACGATGATTCCCGGATCTCGTTCACTTATCACCGCACCGGAGCAACGCGAGACACGCGCGTAATAGATGCAACTCACGCGACTTTATCGAGCTTCAGAGTTTTGACGCATTTGAAACGATTAAGTGAAAATCATAATTTAAACAATCTATTACTCGTACGATTGAATCAGTTTCACGAAACCTTTGGAGTCTTGGAAACGCGTTTGGAACAGTTATTTAAATATCCGATAGGTATGTCACAAATCGATTTCCTGGGAAACGACACGAATTCGTTTAGTTTCGTAGATATCGACACCGAGGACAGGAACGTTCCTAGTGTCAATGCACGAAAGAAATGTTTGCAACGAAAAAATTAGACGAGAATCATTTATACATGACTGCAACCTGTTTCAGAAGTTTTAGCTCCTTTTTGTTACTTGTATATAGATGGAATAATTTTAAGATAGAAAAGCATTTCTATAAATCATTAAGCTAGAAATCTATGTTCTAAGGACGACTTTTAATTGTGAAGCTCAAGAAACAATATTCAAAATACAATATTTTTACTTACATCTCATCAAATCTTATTTCTTGGATAATTATTGTACATTTCATAAGAACGTATGTAATGAGAGAAAGAGAGAGCGTATTATTTAATAATTAGCATAATTAAATGTAATGAAGCGTAAGCAGAGTATTTTTCATCACTCGAGAATAATTGTAATAGAAA